AAGAACATTAATTTTTATAATACAAAAGAAAATTTATTTGTCTCTGAAAAAGTTTTAAATATAATATGAAACAATTGGTTTTCTAAGCAAACAATGAAATGAAAACTAAATTTTTAAGAACAAATTATAGAGAAAGACAATTTTTTCTTCGTTTGCTTACTATTTTAAGTAACATGCGCTTTTAGCTCGGAAATAATTTAATTAACATAATAAATAAATAATAAATAAAAGCTATTTATTAAAACTGTTATAAAAAAAAGGCAATGAAAACAAAATGTTTTGTGGAAAAATAATAATATTAAGACTGATACAATAAATTAAAAATTTATGGAAGCGTAAAGACTCAAGGGAGGTTTAGGACGTTCCAACTTTCTCACAATGAAATGTTCCAACTCTCCCTAATTAATATTTACAATTTCAACCAAGTTTTCATACATGTCGTATAGAGACGCATCAGCTGTGTTACAATCAAAAATGCACTACCAATTGTTAGAAAGGAAATAACCTCGTCTCAAATTTTCCTTACAGTTTTTTCGAAGTAACAAATCGGTGCGTCGAACGTGCGGGTGAATTTCGCGCATCTCTCGCGTTGCGCGCGTTTTGCAGTCTTCTTCATCGTTCTTCGAACAGCGACGATCGTTATCAGACGACTTAAATCCGGCATATTGCTCGAAAGCGGCGCATTCGATACTAGTGGCCAAAGTAAATCGGCTAACAAGATTTGCACGGAGAACGAGAGAAAGAAGGACAGAGAGAACGCGTGCGTGCCGCTTCCCGTCGTTGAATTATTTTTGCGGTTCGCGAAAAGCGAACGCGAGGAGAGCTCGTTCTCTGGAAAAGGAGAAAAAATCAAACAAGACTGCGGCCCGATCCCGAAACGACGGAGAAGGTGGGAGCCGCACGCCTAGGAGAAAGTAAGCCGCCGAAAGTTTCGTTTTCACGTCTGGCCCGGTCCTAAAGCGACCGGTTCCGCCATTCTGATCGCCGTTCCGCGACCGGATTGGGAAATACGCGGGTTGTCCGGACTTCGCGCGCTGAGATCGTCGGAATTTATTGTCGCGCTTATTAATTGTCCGTCGCCTTGGCACACCGCGATCCAGTTAGCAATAATTATCACTCGTATAAATTAATAATCGCATATATAAAAAAGTAAGAGAGAAAGGAAAGGGGCGTATGCACGAACGAGAGAGAAAAAAGAAACCGGAAAAAATCGAGAGAAAAAACAGCGAAACGAACGAATTATGAAATATCGAATAATATCGCGATAAATAAATCAATGGCACCACCTGCTCTCTCGTCCTCCTCCCCTGGCACGAAGCAGGGATGCGAGTGAAAGGGTCCAGGATCAACAGGTTGCTTGATTCTCGTTTCAGTGTGCCGGCCGACCTTTAGCCGGAAAGCTGTGGCGCGTCTTTGCTCGCATTAAGATCTCCCAGGCCGATAGAATTTACAAATAAGGACGACGTCGGATCTATGCGCGGACGGGCGCGCATAGAACAAGGAAGGAATTTCCAACTGAAAATTGACGGGGCAGGCGATCTCGATCGATCGATTCGGCAGCTGCGCGTCGGACGAGAGAGAGACTACATATGAATGTTTAAACGGGCGAAATAAAACGATTCGAGCGAGAGAGCCTGCATTCGACCGATTAAATTCAAAATAGCGGTCGATCGTCGATTTTAAATTTGTAGCAGCGCACGTATGCGTTACGAATTGTCCCTGAAGCTTTAGAAAAAAAAAACAACAACGCGCGTTAATATGCAATTTATATAATGCAATTTAATCGCAAAAAGAGATTTTGATCGACGGACGCTGAAGAAGTCTCGGACGGGTCTTTCCAAACCGAGGGGAGGCAAAAAGGAAGGAAGAAAGAGGAAAGGAATGAGGTAACTAAAAACGAAGAGTAAAAGGCAGAAAAAGAGGTGAGCGAAGAGGAGAAAGGATCCTTCCGTGACTTGCGAGAGTCCGCGCAGGTCCTCTCTCTCTCTCTCTCTTTCTCTCTCCTCGTGGTTTCCGCGTTCGTACAACAGGCACATCGCATCTACCGGACCGGTTTTGGTGATTCAGAGCTCTCTTCGTGCCTTCTCGCTACGTAACTTATGTAAAACCCTCCCGCACCCTCTTTTTCGTGCGATCTTCGCGATCGACGAAAAAAATAATCGCGATTGGCATGATCGGCCGATGAGGAGCGTAACTCTAGACGAACGTGAAGATTGAAAAATAATTGTTTATTGCGAAACAGATGGCGACTTCTTAAGATCTGAAGCTAATTAATTTTCACGCTTCTCTGGAGAGAACTTCTTCGAACAAAAAAAAAATCGAAAGACCGTGTCTCAGTGAAAAATTCGCGCGGACATTTCTCGGAATAAAATTACGGGTCTCTGACAATCCGAAAGCTGAGGAAGTCATATTGATTTTCCTGTAGATTAATATTTGCACTTAAAGAAGTATTCTCGTTTGAAATGTCATTTTGTAAGTGACTTTTGAAATTTTGTTTGAAAAAATTGTAAGCCATACAATTCTGAAGCTTCGTACAAATATTTATCTATATTTTAACTATATATAATAATTTCTACACATTATTATTCTCAATATTAGTAGTTATGAATAATTTTGTGCAACGTTTAACGAAAGATTTACTTGCATGTTTGCCACGATCTCAAAGATAAAAACATTATTAAACTATAAACTTGTAGCTATCGTCTCTACCACAACGTAGAATAAAAATTGATTTTTGACTAGTTTTTTCTCTTTGAGAGGCCTTAAAAATTGAAATATTAAAGATATCGACTTCACGAAATGATAGGGACGATAGTCATAAGTTTATAGTTTGATAATTTTTTTTCTGCCGTTTTGCTTTCAGAAACCTAAAATGCCGTGAATCGAGGTCACTAACCTTTCACGATGAGCGTTAATAAAATTATTTAACTCTATTAATATTGAAGATAATAATGTATGGAAATTACAATATAGCTAAAACATATATAAATATTTATGAAACTTCAGAATTTCGTCTTATAGTTAAAAAAAATCCCAAAAGTCATCTACCAAACGGAACGTTCCAAATGAGATCCCCTCTTAATTGGAATTCTGTTAAGGTTAATTCCTAATAATCTTTCAAATTTTCGATAATGCACACCGTAATTAGCCAGGTCTTCTCCTGTGAGAATACCTTCTTCTTGACAGTTTTCTTTCTCCGTTTCACTTTCCCTATCTTTTTTCCCGCCTTGTATTTATCTGCGTTTATGATCGCCGAACCGTTCAGCTACGACTGACTCGCGACGCTTCCGCGTTGATCCAAGGTAGAGAATGGAGACAGCGGGGTCTTTTTTGAATCCTACCCGGTCCTGATGGCCCTGACCCAAAGCGAGACGCGCTTTCGCAGGTTACAATATGGCCGCCACGGAACAGCTTTGTCTTCGCTCGCAACATTACAGTCGCCCAGCTGCTATTATTAGACAGGCAGCAGGGGACGGAAGGTTCGAGCGGTCATTAGCGAGGAAAATTAAAAGTCCTCTCTTCCGGTTTGATATGACTGGGTAAGTGTCGGAGATATTTCAAATGCAAATACTACATTCTCTTTGTTGCGCCAAATACTCGTTAATGTTCCGCGAACATCCCGCCATCCATCTTGTCCCGATAATGATCTAATCAGGCCGATGACAGGTCTCGTCGTTAGACCCATCGTCCGAAGTGGGATGCTGCGGCGATGCGGTGTGTGATAAACCGTAGCTAGTTCGAACCATCAACGAACGCCGCGTTTCTATCGTTCGAGTGAGAAAAAGTATAACTGCCTAAATGCCCGACGGAGGAACTCGGTCGCCCCCGATGATGGACGGCGAGGGATCGTACTTATCGGGTTTCGTGGGCCGCGATACGACTCGAAATTACCGAAGCGAGCGAAATTAGTGGATGTCGGTTTCCGTCGCGGCATCGCGATGCCCGCAATTTTCAAACGGACCCGGGCGGGAGTCACGGAGCAAGTCAGCCCGTCCTCATTCCTCGCGGAGTGACATACTTCCTGAAACGCGGCTCTCCGACCGGCCGATCTGTGAAATTAACGACAACGGAGCGTTTCGTGCTCCGCTAGGTAAAATCGAAAGTGGCGAAATATCACAGTCGTGGCTAGAGACCAAGGAACAGCGCGTTTCAGTCTGAGCAAAGAGGGAGAAAGGGAGAGAGAGAGAGAGAAAGAGACACCACACTCACTTGGAGGGGGTACAAATAGCTCCTTCCCTCCCCCTAAGGTGTACACGCTGCTGTGGATGATGTCAGGATGTTAAAGGCGAGTACATCGACGGTTGTTTACCGTTGAATAATCGCGTGCACCGAGGAAGAACAGGGAAAACGCGAACTGCCAAGAGTTTCCTCCAAGAGAAAGAGATCTCAGGCGACACTCGAGGACGGAGGCTGAAGGGTCGCCACTGGAAAGAGAGAGAAAGGGGGAAACGTTCGGCGACCTACATATTTAAACACGAGCGAAGCGTGATAATTAATTTCGACATGTGATGAAGAGTCGACCGTAGATCGAGAGTAAAAGCTCCGTTGTTCTTCGATATCCGAGAAACCGAAGCTGGACTTCGTACGAGAAGGAAAAAGAGAGAGAGAGAGAGCGCGAGAGAAGCGGTAAAGTAAGCAGAGACGGAAGGCAAGCCACAGACGATCGAAAAAGTGCGGCGCGATCAGCCGGAGCGCGCGGACAGGCAGGTAGACGAGGACGGTGGCGTTCTTCGAGCGAGAGGGAGAGGAGGAGGAGGAGAAGGAGGAGGAGGACTAGGTCTGGATCCTAAACGTCGGACGGAGAGGTGCTCCGGCAAGAGAGAGAAAGAGCGAGAACAGCGAAGTGCGCGCGGAGAAGGAAGAAACCGCAGCGCACGACGGTGCGCCGCTCGCGGCTTTTGCCAGTCGAGTGGGGTCAGGTTGTAGAAGCGTAGTGGGAGGTGGGGGCGGGAAAAAGCGGATGTTGGGGCGGAGGAGAGCGAGACGGAGAGTCCGCTGGCTGGACAAAGAGGGAAAGAGAGGTTGTCGAGGCGAAACGGCGTGGCGCTTGCGACTCAGTGTCTTTCCGGACGCCACACGTTCGAGACACGCACGCGAGTTTCCATCTCCCCCCCTCCTCTCTCTCCCTCTCTCTTTCTTTCTTTTTTCTTTCTACCTCTTCCTCTCTTTCTCTCGCTCCCTCTCTGCTTGCCGGCCGCCTCATCGTCCTTCTCTCTCTCTCTCTCAGAGGCGCTCTCCATCCTGGCCGAGCGTCCGGGCGGTCGCGCTCCTCCGTCTTCCTCGCTCCGTCCTTCCTCGTGCTGTCTCTCTGCGCTCACCTCCAGGACGACGTCGAGGCACGTCGTCCGTGCCCTGCCCCCCTCTATCCGGGCATGAGAGGGACCAATAGGAGCGCCGCTTCCGGCAACGAAGGCGCTCCAATCGGCATACGGCGCCGACGGATAGATGCTGACGAGCGGCGATTTTGACAGTCGACACTGTGCTACTCTCAGCGCTCGCGGTTTAATCGCTCGCGCGCGCACTGAGGCCTGTACCGGGGTGCACCCTCCGAGGCTCGCGGGACTCGGAGTCGGCTCGGCGCCGCGGTTCGTGAATCGGAGCCAGTGCCCTCCGGAGCGTGGATCCTATCGCCTCGCCGCGGACTTGTCGCGCGCAGGGCCCACCAGGGGCAAGTCTGACAGCTCGCGGAAAAGTGTCGCCGGCTCTCCCGCGTTGGATATATCCGGTCTCTCGTCAATCGGTGAATCGCGCTAGTTACCGCGACGCCTACCTGTACCCCCGAGTGAGTGCGACGAGGGAAGAGTTCGGCCCACATCGACTACGCCCTCGAGCGATCCGCAGCTGAGATTCCCCACGGTCACGTGGACCGAGCGACACAGCGGGGCGCTCACGAAGAGCACTCGCTCGAGCTCTCGTCGGCGAGCGGAACGATCGCGGAAAATTCCGAGGCTTCGCAGAGCGGTTCTCCGCGCGAACGTCTCTCTCATAGACCACGAGACCGAGAGTGAGAGACTGAGAGAGAAAAAGAGACAGACGCGCGCGCCTGCGGCTGTCAAGAATAGTCGTATATTCCACGCGCCCGCTCCTGGAGCCGGAGCGGCTGGAAAACCGGCGGACAGCCTCGGTGATCAATTGAGCCGGCCGATAATTCATCAAAGCACCCGAGAACGATCGGGTCTCCTGGCAAGAGAGAGAGAGAGAGAGAAAGAGACGCACGCAGGTGTATCGTCGCCGACACCTCCGCCGCGGATGCGAGCGCGTCGTTCGCGCCGGTACGAGTGAAAGGAAGAGAGCCGAGGACTCGCGTTAGCCGAGCGCGGACCGGCCCGCGAGCGGGCGAGCGGGGCGACGAGGGTGCTAATTAAATGCGCGCGTGAGGTAATCGGATGAGCTGCGCTATGGAGTATCAGCAATTGGCGCCACCGCCGGTACCAGGGGTGCTGCACCAGGCGGCGCATCATCCCCAGCAGCACCAGCAGCCGGTGCAACCGCCGCACCCGCACATCGTGGTAGCGCCGGCACACCAGCCGCAGTCCCAGCAACAACCACCGCCACCGCCCCTACCGCCGACCTCCCACGGCCACCAAGTGCACCCGCCGTTACCACCCATTCACGATGACAGCACCAGCTCCAGGTGGTCTCAATACCAACACCTGTGGAGGCAGCATCACGTTTACATGAACGGTAGGCACGCGGCTACGCCGCCAGCTCGCTCGAAATTTCAATCTCCCTCTCTCTCTCTCTTTCGCTTCGAAGAAAGCGAAAGAAAGAGGCAGACAGAGAAGTGCGTTTATTTACACTCTGCGGCTGAGCCCCTTAAGAGGAACACGTAGAATGAGAATGCGGTGAGAATTACGTGATAAGTAGAATAAAAGAAAGTGGAAGGAGGAAGGAAGAATATGTGAGTAAAAATAAATTGAAGAAAGAAAAGAGAGATTTGATCGATCGATGGGGTGCATTGAAAGAAGGATTTCGTGATAAGTATTACAATTTGGCGGATATTTGCCGGCCAAATATTTCATTACCGCGGCCAAATAATTTAGTTTCGCACACTAAATATACAGTATACGGAACAAAATTATTTAGTTGCAGTAATCGAATATCTGATCGGCAAATATTCACCAAATCTGAGTGCTTATTGCCGAATCCCCTTTTCTATGTGCATTTATTCTATACTCTACGAACATAATTTTTTAAGAACGTTAGAAATGGCTACAGAAACAATATATCTTGAAATGAATAATTAATGTCAAGTAACGTGTTATTAAAAACATGTCCAGATGCATCGCGGTTAATTTATGCTTTTCGTCAAGTCGATTTACATAAGAGGGAGAGACAGAGAGAGATTTCGATGGGAAGAATTGATACTCGTTGACGCATAATTATCAAGTCGCCGATGGTAGACCCGGTGTCGTTGATGGATCGCGACCGGAACGACGGATCTCGCGATGAATTATCGGTAAGAGAGAGGAGAGTCGCGAAAGCTAATGAATATGACGACCGTACGGCGCGTGTATAAGCGCTGGGAAAATTGGATATGGATCCAATGCGCCGGCAGAGAGGGAGAAGTAGTGGTACTCGCCGTCGTAGTCGTCGAGTAGAAACGCCCACCTGTTGCTCACATTAGCCAGCCTACATTCGGTCTGTAACTACTGCGCGCCGATCAGCCGACTATACGCTCGAGCATCGCGCGGTTACGGCGCGCGTTTATTTATTCGCGGTAAGTCGAGGAGTTGAAAGGCGCGCATCGCGCATAATTTCGCGGATACTTTGAAAGGGATGTTCAAAGAGAGGCGGAACAGGCTCGAAAATTAGTCGAATGGAAGAAAAGAGGCGGGAAAAAGGTAGAAATTTATTTATTTATGCATAGGGCAAAAAATCTACTAAACACAAATATGAGAAAAGAAAAGGAAATAACAAAACAGAGGGAAGGGAAGCAAATTAAAAAAAAGAAAAAAAAAACACCTAAAAAATATAGAAAACGGAAATAGTTAATCGATTTCGAAATTTTTATACGTGTTTGGGTAATAGTTACGATTATGTGCTCGGTAAATTATATTATTCGATAATTTTCGTCGGGGAATACGCGCGATCGTCGTTTGAAAAGGAAGGTTCGTTGTTGCTTCATTTACTACGAGGCGCATTTGTTAACTAAACAGGTTAGTTAATCGAACATGGAGCGCGAATGAATCATCCAGTCGCCGTGTGTAGACGTGTGAATTCACCTATGCTGTATCTATCCTAGTTACAGCGGATTCGACTCAAGGCTCTTCGCATTTGCATCCTCCCACGTCCTCAGCTCGTTTCGCTTCTGCACGCGTTCCCGCTCCAACTCTCTCTCTCTCTCTCTTTCTCTCTTCCTCATCCATTCATTCATCTCGCTTTGTCGCACCGATGGAATTTCCGTGGAAAAACTGTTATTGTATTACATTTATTTGCGCGCACGCTCTCCGAGCAGCGAGAGAACACCGGATTAGAACAAGGCGAACGAGCCGTTCCGTTCCTATTATAACCTATTCTATCGCTTCGCCTATTCTATTTCGGACGGAAGCGTAACTTATTATTATTCCGTAATATATATTATTCCGTAAAATCCACTTGCGAAAACAGTTTAAATATTTATACACGACGACAAATGCGAAAGCGTGGCCTATGCATCGGAATTTGACATTAAGTCGGACATCAAGTATCGAGGCGTTAAGTGGAAATACTACTGTTTACCCGTTTACGACTGCGCTTCTTCTCCTTTCGCGGTCCGGCACGCCGTTAGATCACTTACCCGTATCAGGCAGAAAAAACAGTTTATTTGAATTTATCCGAAATGGACAAATCAAACGCGCGTTTAGGTTGAGGAAGAGCAGAATTTCCGATTATGAGAATGAAATTTGACTCGAATCAAACCAAGAGTAATAAGGAGCAGTGGGAACCTACATAGCGAAAAATTTTGTGTTAAAAACGATCCACTGAAATTTTGGCGTTATCTCAACAAAAATGGAATACGTTAAAAGGTAATATAACGAGATAAATATATTAATTTAATATATATTTGTGTTTTCCAACGTATGTTAAAGTAATCCACAAAAATTGAAAATTTTTAATATAAATCAGTATATATAAAAAAGAAAAAACATATGACACTGCAATTATTGTGCCCAGGTTTCTATCGGTCTTTTGTTACTCTCGGTATGATTTGACATCAGTGGAGCCTTTTACTTGAACTTCAAATTTCGCTCATAAGAACTAGAAATTCTGTCTCCTTTGACCAAAAACACGCGTTTGGTATGCCTATTTCAGGTAAATTTATCCCGATTCCTTTCTCCGTGGGATATTTAATCGATCTCGCGCCGGTCGGCAGCGTCGCGCGTGGCTAATGCGATCTCGTCAAAAATTTTTGGCGACGCGACCGTATTTATGTGTGTACGTACGCGCTTCGTTTCCGTGAACCTACGGTCGTTCAACCCATTCAAATGAATATAACATTTCACCTCGTTAAGTCACGATACCACTCGCGACTCGGAATTTCCCGGGCGAGTCATTCTCATTACAATTTCGCATTCCCGATGGCGTCGGGCATTGCGTTTCGCAAGATACGCCAGATTAAAATGACAGCGAGGAGAAGTCCTTACAGTATGCAACGCGACTTCCTCGCACGTGTTCCTCGCACCTTTGTCGTCTTTGACTTCGCGTGCGCTCTATTTCCCCCTCTCTCTCTCTCTCTCTCTCCTCTCTTAGCATTCGCCAGTCGTCATACGACGAGCAATTGCACGACTGCATGCACTACCTATCATTAAGCACACATTTGCCCGCAAACATTTGCAGGCAATTAAATTTGCTACGGAAGGGAAAAAACGGACCTGCGGTATCGTGTTTTCCGTTAGATAAATAATTAGTTGGATAAACAATATCTCTTGCGAAGTGGGCTGGTTCGAGATCGGGATTGTTATAATTGTTTCCTTTTATCGTTCGCAACCATACCCCTTTTTTGCGAGTACTCGCGAATTAATGGCCGCCGCGGATCTCGATTGCACGGCCGGCGCAATGACGACGCTCGTATCCGCGATACGTCGCATTGTCATCGAGCACAATAGATTAGAATCGCGTTTTAGGATGCACAATGCTAGGGATGGGTCGGACCGGCCTCTCCTAGTCCCAAAGCGTAGAGCACGTCGAGCGCTGATTGTCGGGATCGCGTCATCGTCAACGGCGAATTCGCGAGGCGCAGGATTATCGCGGCGACGCGTCTCGAGAACGCGAATGTGGGAAACGGGTTCGCACCTAAACAGCGCGATTCCGCCGGTTTTCCACAAATCAGTTCTCCTCCACGCTCGCGTGGAATTAATCTTTCGAGTGCGAAGCACTTCGGAACCGAACGATCACTTGGACAAGGACGGAATAATTTCAGCCGTTGTACTGTAAATGGACGAGAACAATATTAGATGTGTATATGCGCATGCATGTGTGTGTATGGTGGTGCGAAAAGTTTGCCAAATCGAATAGAAAACCGGACCCGATTTCGAGGTTGATCTTTACGATTAAAATGAACAACATCGACTTGATTTTTAGGCATCTAACAAGGACCTCCTATTTTTCTGTTAATACGCGGAAAGAATGCTGTTGTATCAAGAGAATTGGCGAACAACGCCATAATTGGAATACATTTTCTCGATTCAATAATAATATTATTGAAAGTAACGCATCATATATTGTATTTTAACAACATGAGAATTGGAGTCGATAATATTGTTATTGAATCAAGAAGATTCACTCTAATTATGCCTGTGGTGCAGTGTTTACCAATTCTATTGATACATTGTTAACGTGCGTCCGAACCTTCCACGGGGATTTAATGGAAAAATGACGGACCTTTCCACCGGATTGATAACTTGCGGAAAAATCGGAAGCAGTGTGCCGAGACCGGGTGAAATTTATGACCGTTGCTAAAATATACGACATAAGGTCTGTGACACACGGAAAAAGCCGTAAACGATAAAACATAAGCGGAAAAATTGACCGATCGTAGTCGATTTATTCTCCTTACGGTCGAGGAATAATCGACTAAACGTGAATACAATTGCAACGGTTGACAATTGTTGCTCGTGTCGAGAGCACGAACCGAAAGAATTCAACATATACATCTACACTTTATTCCGATAACATATGCTGGACGCATATATGTGCGCCTACTGTGCTCGAGAAGTTAATGAGCACGTGGGGAAAAAATGAGCGCGCATCTCGGCGAGGTGCGTGGAAATCGCCGGACACGAAAGCTGGCGCCTCCCTGGCGCAAAGTCGACAACCTTGCCGATATTGAAGCGCATCGGCAACTAACGAGTCGGAGTTTCCGAGTTAACTCGTGCGCCGACCTACGACCTCGAGAGATATCGTTGCCGACCTTGACGGTGTTACGCGCTGCGATTTGAATTCCGCTTCGAGACTTGGCCGGCGAGCGCGATGTTTCATCCGCAAGAGAGATTCTCTCTGTGTCTCTCTCTCTCTCTCTCCCTCTCTGTCGCTCGCGCGAGCGGCGAGCGTAAGAAATATTTTCCGAATACGTGAGCTGCATGTCACCCGCGCGGCGAATATCCTCCGACCGAACGAGTGAAACTGCGGAGCGCATCACGCGCGAACGCGCACACCAAAACGGTTTTCTTCAATGTTGCGTACGTAAAGAGCCGTACGCCCGA